AAGTGGACCTAATAGACATCTACAGAACTCTCCACCCCAAATCCACAGAATATACAATCCTCTCAGCACCACATCTCACCTACTCTAATATTGACCACTTAATTGGAAGTAAATCACTCCTCAGCAAATGCAAAAGAATGAAAATCATAACAGTCTCTCAAACCACAGGGCAATCAAATTAGAACTCAGGATTAAGAAACTAACTCAGAAAGGCACAACTTCATGGAAACTGAACAACTGGCTCCTGAGTGTTGACTGGATAAACGATGAAATGAAGGCAGAGATAAAGACGTTCTTCAAAACCAATGAGAATGAAGACACAGTGTACCAGAATCTCTGGGACACATTTAAAGTAGTGTCTAGAGGAAATTTTATAGCAGTAAATGCCCACATGAGAAGCAAGGAAAGATCTAAAATTGACACCCTATCACCAAAATTGAAACAGCTAGATCAAAAAAACACAAAAGCTAGAAGAAGACAGGAAACGACTAAGATCAGAGCAGAACTGAAGGAGATAGAGACACAAAGAATCCTTCGAAAAATCAACGGGAGCTGGTTTTTTGAAAAGATCAACGAAACAGACTGCTAGCCAGATTAATAAAAGAGAAAAGGGAAAAGAATAAAATAGATGCAATAAAAAAAAGATAGAGGGGTTATCACCACCAATTCCACAGAAATACAAACTACCGACAGAGATTACTACAAACAACTCTATGCACATAAACCAGTAAACCTGGAAGAAATGAATAATTCCTGGACACTTGCACCCTCCCAAACCTAAACCAGGAAGAAGTTGAAACCTTGAACAGACCAATAACAAGGGCTGAAGTTGAGGCAGCAATTAATAGCCTACCAACCAAAAAAAAGTCCCGGTCCAGATGGATTCACAGCTGAATTCCACCAGACATACAAACAGGAGCTGGTACCATTTCTTCTGAAACTATTCCAAAGAACACAAAAAGAGGGAATCCTTCCCAAATCATTTTATGAGACCAACATCATCCTGATACCAAAACCCGGCAGAGACTCAACAAGAAAAGAAAACTTCAGGCCAATATCCATGATGAACATAGATGCAAAAATCTTCAATCAAATACTGGCAAACCAATTGCAACAGCACATCAAAAAGCTTATCCATCATGATCAAGTAGGCTTCATCCCAGGGATGCAAGGCTGGTTCAACATATGCAAGTCTATAAATGTAATCCACCACATAAACAGAACCAAAAACAAAAACCACGTGATTATCTCAATAGATACAGAAAAGGCCTTTGACAAAATTCAATGGCCCTTTCTTTATGCTAAAAACTCTCAATAAACTAGGTATTGAAGAAACGTATCTCAAAATAATAAAAGCTATTTATGACAAACCTACAGTTACTGAATGGGCAAAAACAGGAAGCATTCCCTTTGAAATCTGGTACTAGACAAGGATGTCCTCTCTCTCCACTACTATTCAATATAGTATTGCAAGTCAGCCAGAGCATAATTGCTCTGAAAAAAAATAAAGAAAAAAAAGAAAAAAAAAATAAAGCATATTCAATTAGGAAAGGAGGAAGTCAAATTGTCTCTATTTTCAGAGGACATGATTGTATATTTAGAAAAACCTATCATCTCAGCCCAAAATCTCCTTAAACTGATAAACAACTTTAGCAAACTCTCAGGATACAAAATCAATGTGCAGAAATCACAAGCATTCATATACACCAATAACAGACTAACAGAGAGCCAAATCATGAGTGAACTCCTATTCATAATTGCTACAAAGAGAGTAAAATACTAGGAATACAAACAAAGGATGTAAAGGACCTCTCCAAGGAGAACTACAAACCACTGCTCAAGGAAATAAGAGAGGACATAAACAGATGGAGAAACATTCCATGCTCATGGTTTGGAAGAATCAATATCATGAAAATGGCCATATTGCTCAAAGCAATTTACCGACTCAACACTATCCACATCAAGCTACCAATGATCTTCTTCACAGAACTGGAAAAAACACCCTAAGCTTCACATGGAACAAAAAGAGAGGCTGCATAACCGAGACAATCCTAAGCAAAAAGAACAAAGCTGAAGGCATTATGCTCCCTGACTTCAAACTATACTACAAGGCTGCAGCCATCAAAACAGCATGGTACTGGTACCAAAACAGAGATATAGACCAATGGAACAAAACAGAGGCCTTGGAGGCAATGCCACACATCTACAACCATCTGATCTTTGACAAACCTCACAAAAACAAGCAATGGGGAAGGATTCCCTGTTTAATAAATGGTGTTGGGAAAACAGGCTAGCCATGTGCAGAAAGCAGAAACTGGACCCCTTCCTGACACCTTACACTAAAATTAACTCCAGATGGATTAAAGACTTAAACATAAGACCTAACACCATAAAAACCCTAGAAGAAAACCTAGGCAAAACCATTCAGGACATAGGCATAGGCAAGGACTTCATGACTAAAACACCAAAAGCATTGGCAACAAAAGCCAAAATAGACAAATGGGACCTAATTAAACTCGAGAGCTTCTGTACAGCAAAAGAAACAATCATTAGAGTGAACCGGCAACCAACAAAATGGGAAAAAAACTTTGCAATCTACCCATCTGACAAAGGGCTAATATCAAGAATGTACAAAGAATTAAAACAGATTCACAAGAAAAAAACAAAGTCATTCAAAAGTGGGCAAAGGTTATGAATAGACACTTTTGAAAAGAAGACATACATGAGGCCAACAAACATATGAAAAAATGCTCATCATCACTAGTCATTAGAGAAATGCAAATCAAAACCACATTGAGATACCATCTCATGACAGTAAGAATGGCGATCATTAAAAAATCTGGAGACAACAGATGCTGGAGAGGATGTGGAGAAACAGGGACACTTTTACACTGTTGGTGGGAGTGTAAATTAGTTCAACCATTGTGGAAGAAAGTGTGGCAATCCCTCAAGGACTTAAAATTGAAATCCCATCTGATCCAGCAATCCCATTACTGGGTATATACCCAAAGGATTATAAATTGTTCTACTATAAAGACATATGCACACATATGTTCACTGTGGCACTGTTTACAATAGCAAAGTCCTGGAACCAACCCAAGTGCCCATCAATGATAGACTGGACAAGGAAAATGTGGCACATATGCACGGAATACTATGCAGCCATTAAAAAAAAAAAAAAAAAAAAAACAGTGAGTTCGTGGCCTTTGTAGGAACATGGATGAATCTGGAAACCATCATTCTCAGCAAACTGACACAAGGACAGAAAATCAAACACCACATGTTCTCACTCATAGGCGGGTGTTGAACAATGAGAACACGTAGACACAGGGAGGGGAGCATCACACACTGGGGTCTGTTGGGGGAGGGCTAGGGGAGGGACAGCAGAGGAGTGGGGAGGTAGGGGAGGGATAACATGGGGAGACATGCCAGATATAGGTGACGGGGGCATGGAGGCATCAAACCGCACTGCCGTGTATGTACCTATGCAACAATCCTGCGTGATCTGCACATGTACCCCAGAACCTAAAGTACAATAAAAAAAAAAAAACTTCCTGTTTATGTTCTACTTTCAGTTAGTTGGTAGTTGATTTCTAACACAAAATGCCTCATTTTCACTTCTACCATTTCAGGTCCATGGTAACTGTCCTTGATTAGTAAAATGGCCGTAACCTCTTGCTTTACCTCCTTTGAAACCCACTTTGCACATTCTTTCAAGTTCAAAAATCTTCAGATATTTTCTATACAAAAAAATTCATAAATCTCAAGAGCTCAGACTTCATTGAAATGAAATGTAGAAACACTATTGGTGACTTGAGTGAAAAGAAAATGGCAAGATCTGAATTCAAGTCAAGTATTATTGGAAAACTGAACTTATGTCGCGATTTTTATTTGCATATTATATATTTTTTAATTTTTTTCAGGAGCTAGCCACTAATTTTTTTAAGAAAAAAGTGACAAGGGCACAATTCTTTGAAACCAGTATTTAAATAGTCGCCTACTTTAAGTAAATCAATTTCCAACGTTACAAAATAAGCTTCATGTACATTTTTATGGTTAGTATTTGGGCGGACCTGGGGGCTCCATAGCTGTCTTCCATTACTCAGAGCTTCAGGACCCTAAAAAGGCTCAGAACTGCTTTCATAAACAAGAAACAATGCTGCAAAGGCAGCCGTTTGGCTGTAAAATCCTACTGTTGACAGCCAAGAGGGGCGTGTTGCTTCGCGACACTCAGCCCGCGGGGTCATCTGGGCTCCGGAAGGGCGTACGCGGCGCCTTTATCAAGGCACGTGCGACCGTTTTTGCCGGAGGACACCGCGGGTGGACGCGTCAGCCGACCGTCCTCCCGCGCCGCGCCGCGCCCTGCCCGGAGTCGTCGAGTAGCCGCGGAGTCGCCTCGGCTGCCCCCGCGCCCCTAGTGTTCCAGCCTTGGCCGCTCGCCTCCTCCGAGGGTCCCTACGCATCCTGGGCGGCAGCCGTCCGCCGCACGGTGAGTGCCAGCCGGGGCTTCCGCGGCGCACGCCTGGAGGCTGCGGGGCCGGGCAGCCTCACTCGGGTGGCTGGTTTGAAGCGGGGTGGTGCGCGCGCTTCTGGGAGTGCGCCCCTACTCTGGCGCGGGGCTAGGGCTGGCATTGTTTCCCCGATCTCGCGGCTTGGGCGCAACCAGCTTTGGGGCGGAGAAAAAAGGGGTGTCAGCCATGCTGCCCGGACAAGGGACTGCCAAACCCACCGCGGGGAAAATCGAATAGGACTCAGTGCCCGGGTTGCGGCGCGGACCAAAAGTGTCCAGGACAAGCCAGGATAGAAACGACCTGGCGAGGGTTCCATCAGACAAGGAAATTTCCTTTGAATTTATCAACAAATCCTTTAAATACAGAGGATTAATGAACAGGGAGTCTAAGTGGCTCAGTGACTATTAAGATGGTCTTTATAATATGATCAAAAGTTTCAGATACCATCTGATGCATAAAGTATATTCACTGGGTTGACAAATTGGAAGCATGGAGAATTCATTATTTAATAAGGGTGAAGGAACTGGTAAATTAGCGAAAGACAGCATTGGTGTAAGGTACTCTAATTTGCTTTGAGAGCTGTGAGACAAAATGCCTACTCTTCCTGGGGTGGTTTGGGAAGACTTCATTGAGAAGGTGACTTTCTCTTTAAGTATGTATCTTTAGGATACATACTTAACTCTTCCCTGGAACATCATAAGACAGTGATCCTCAAACTGTTTTTTGTTTCGTTTGTTTTGTTTTGTTTTGTTTTGTTTTGTTGTTTTTTGAGACAGTCTCACTCTTGCCCAGGATGGAGTGCTGTGGTGCCATCTCGGCTCACTGCAACCTCCGGTTCAAGTGTTTCTCCTGCCTCAGCCTCCTGAGTAGCTGGGATTACAGGTGTGCGCCACCACGCTTGGCTAATTTTTGTATTTTTTTTTTTTTTTTTTAGTAGAGACGGTTTTGCCATATTGGCCAGGCTGGTCTCGAACTCCTGACCTCCTGATCCACCCATCTCAGCCTCTCGAGGTACTGCCTCAAACTTTTTAATAACAGGACTCCCTTATGCTCTTAAACTTAGAGGACTCCAAAAGCCTTTTGTTTATGTAGGTTATATCTATCTGTCTGTCTTATCAAAAGGTATCTACAAAACTGAGAAACTGTACAAATATTTAGTTTATTTAAAAGTTACAGTAATAAGCTCATTACATGTTAACATAAATAACAGTTTTTATGAAAAATAACTTATCCTAAACAAACAGAAAAAAGTGAAAAGAATGACATTGTTTTACATTTTTGCAACTCCCTTAATGTCTGGCTTAATAGATAGGCAGATAATTATATCTGCTTCTGTATTATCCATTGGCATGAGTTAGTTTGATTGAAGCATGGCAAGAAAATCTACCCTCAAATAGAGAACACCGGAAAAAGGGAGACCTGAGAGACCCTCTGAATGGGCTGGGGGGCTACAGTTTTGTTGTAATAGCTTCTTGACCTTTAATGTGCATAGGAATCACTTGGGAATCTTGTTGAAATACAGCTTCTGATTCAGTGGATCTGGGATTGGGCCTGAGATTGTATTTATAACCAGCTTCCAGGTGTTGTGGACGGTGCTGATGGAGATTGTCTCCCTTTTAAAATGTAAAGGAGGCTTTTAAAAAATTACAGCTTAGCCAGTAAGATTAGTTGTAGTTTATTGCCTTATAGTAAAAAATTCCAATTTTTCCAGCACAGATTTCTTCATCTTTAGACTAAGAAATAGATGTTGTGATAAGCTTGCTGCCAAGTGTTTTGATTTTCTTCCTTCTGCATATTCTCTCTTGACTGCCTTTGGCTGAGCTGAAAGTCTTTATTCTTTTGGCATTTCTTTTGCTTTCCTGTGTCTTAATGTATTTTATTTAGAAATATTGCGGAGATTTCCTTAACACAGTATAGGCTACTCAATATTAAGATCCAGTCAGATTCTATTTTAAATTATGGATCTATTATTTACTCATTATGTTGACAAATAATTCAGTGTCTTACGGCCCTAGTTTCCAATCTCAGCATATTTTTTCCTGAGGAAAAATCTCAAGTATGGAAAATCTGTAGGGACAAATATGTGCTTTATAGTTTTATTTCTACTAGCAAGAAAAAGGAACCAGTCATTTCCATTCTAGGGATAAAGTAAATGTTTATTTGATGCAGCAGGACAATGGTCAAGGTCCCCTGCATGTCCTGGCCCTCTGTTATCTCTGACCTCATCCCCTCTTCTCAGTCCACTCTGGCTGCACTTGCCTCCTTGCTCCTTCCAGAACACATCAGACACCATTCAGACATACAGCCTTTGCTCTAGTCGTTCTTTTGTCCTAAAATTCTTCTATTCTAGTGGTATGCCTCTGTTACCTTCAAGGGTTTGCTCCAATCTCACCTTTCTGGTTTAACCTACCCTGACTGCAGCACTGCAACCTCTTTCTTTCTTTCTCTTTCTTTCTTTCTTTCTTTCTTTCTTTCTTTCTTTCTTTCTTTCTTTCTTTCTTTCTTTCTTTCTTTCTTTCTTCTTTCTTTCTTTCTTTCTTTTTCTTTCTTTCCTTCTCTTTCTTTCCTTCCTTCTTTCTTTCTTTCCTTTCTTCTCTTTCTCTCCTCTCTCTCTCTCTCTCTCTCTCTCTCTCTCTGTCATTCTCTTTCTCTTTCTCTCATTCTCTCTTTGTGATAGGGGCTTGCTATGTTGCCCAGACTGGTTTTTTCAAACTCCTCAGCTCAAACAATCCTCATGCCTCAGCCTCCAAAAGTGCTGGGATTACAGGTGTAAGCCACCGAGCCCAGCCTACTACACTATTTCATACAGCAACCTCTGTCTCTGTCCCCCCCAGGCACATACTCCTGATCCCTTCTCTTCTTTTTCCATAGTACTTATCACATCCTAAGGTATTCTATAATTTGCTTATTTATTTGTTGTTTATTCAGTCTCCCTTTGTTAGAATGTAAGCTTAAAAGCCAAGATCTTTGTCCTCATCTCAGTCCTTTGTTCATTCTCATATCTAAAGTTACTAGAATAGTGCCTGGCACAAAATTGGCACTCAGTAAATATTTGTCAACTAAATGAATAAATAAGTCACTAAAAATGATAATTAGGGAGACCTTAGAAATATGTTGTAATAGCAGCTGAGCATGGTACCTCATTCCTGTAATCCTAGGCCTTTGGGAGGCCAAGATGGGTGTATCACTTGAGGTCAGGAGTTCAAGACCAACCTGGTCAACATGGTGAAACCCGTCTCTACTAAAAATACAAAAATTAGCTGGATGTGGTGGGGGGGGGCACCTGCGATCCCAACTACCCCAGAGGCTGAGGCAGGAGAATGGCTTGAATCGGGGAGGAGCCTGGGTGACAGAGCAAGACTCTGTCTCAAAACAAGAACCAAAAAAAACCCTTTACATCTACTTTGATTATTTGTGCAAAATAGGTCTTTTTGGATAAGGACTAGAAAAGAAAAGGCAGCTTCCAACTAAGGAAGAAATACACTAAATAGAATTTAATGCATAATAGAAAAAAATCTTTTGCCAAGATTTGAATATATGATAAGTTTTTTAGATGTGAACTTAAAAATGTACAAAATGATGCATAGATTTTCATAATTCCTTTTAGGGGTACTTCAAGGGAAAAAAAAAGCTGAAGACCACTGAACTAAAGGAATTACAGAGCAGTCTAATTTTAAGCTTGGTCTGGGAGGGATGGGAGTACGTCTTAAATAATTCCGTAGAAATCTTTACAGAGATTGGTGGGTATTTTTATCTCCACCCAGATTGGCTTTATAACGTGGCAATAACATCAACACAGTTTGCATCTTATATACTTGCAATTCGAAATTGTGTGATTCTGGTTAAAATACTAATTTTGGAGGTTTGCATTATTTTAAACATTGTACATGATATGAAAATGTATCAGTATTACCCTATTATACGATTTGAATTTTATCCATATGTCACATGACAATTCTGCATTTCACCTCATGTCAGACCTGTGGTGAGTTCTAGGCACTGTCTTCTTTAAGGATTTGGAGGTGGAGACTGAGTTGAATAATGATAAGGTACTTCTTAATTCCACCTACATTAGGTAGATCCTATCAAAAATGGTGGTGCTCAAGTTTGAACCCAGGTTTGTCATAATTCAAACTCTTTCTACTCACCTCTCCAGTTTCTCTGTGAAAGAAATCCATGTTGTTCAGTGGCATTACTTTGGATCTGAAGAGTAACAATTCACTTAATTTTCTTACTGCATATATATATTTTTAAGATGTTCTCATTGCAGAGGGGAAGAACGTCTAGAAACTTCTTCTGCTAAAAAGTTAACAGATATAGGAATTAGAAGAATCTTTTCTTCAGGACATGACATTTTCCGGGAAAGTGTAAGGAAGTTTTTTCAAGAAGAAGTGATTCCTTATCACTCGGAGTAAGTAGCACATTTTCCTCTAATGGAGTAAATATTAGGGGTATGATAGGACCATTTCCTGGAATGTCATACATTGCTATACAGAAAACATACTATGTTAAGGGCTTTATTAACATTTTTGCTGCTCTTCACCATAACATTGTAAGATCCCGGGATTCTTAAAGATTTTTTAATGAATTTTAAAATGTACTATACACAAATAAGAAAATTTAAAAATTTGCAACTTAGCCTAAGAGTAGTATTTTTTTTAACCATGGGTAAGTGGCCACAAAATCATAGTCAGTTTCATAGCCTTTTTTCTTCTTCTTCATGATTAATTAAACTAAAAGTTCAAAAGGTCAGCATAATACAACCTTGGTAAGCAATTGGTTACCTCTGGATATTTCTTGATTAATTACTATTACTTTATTGACCAAAAACCTATCATTTCTATTACAATAAGATTTTGCTTCATTTCCAAAATGTACTCAGTGCCAGTACAGATGCCCCTCAATTTAGGATGGGGCTACAATATCATAACTCAAAAATGCACTGTTATTATTTTAACACTTATTATGTTATGATAAAAACAAAGAAATTTTCAGCACTGTTATGTTAGAAGCAGACATTAGAAGATTAGGAAAAATGAAGAGAGAAATGGTTCAGGAACATCATAGGTTTGTGATATTTTATACACCCACCCTGCTAAATGCCATAGTTTAGGCCAGCCTATATGCTCAAAACAATTACATAAGCCTACAGTTAGGCAAAGTCATCTAACGCAATGTCTACTTTGCAATAAAGTACTAAATAGCTCATGTAATGTATTAAATACTCTAATGAAAAACAAAATGGTTATATGGATACTTAAAGTAAGTATGTTTTCGACTGATCATGAATTGTTTTTGTACCATACATAAAAAAAATGTAAGTTGAACTGTCTTAAGTCAGAGACATTTGTACTGTACAACGTTTAGAATGGTTTTTAAACAGAATTAAAAGTAACTTCCATTAGGTTTTTACTGATACCTTCTTGGTAAGAATGACCAAAATTAGCTGAACTCAGAAGCCAGAAGCCATGACTACTCTTTGGTGAAAAGCAACTAACTTCTGTTTCTCGGTTTTTTGTTTTTTGTTTTTGAGATATGGTATCATTCTGTTGCCTAGGCTGGAGAGTAGGGGCGTTGATCATAGCTCACTGCAGCCTTGAACTTCTGGGCTCAAGTGATCCTCCTGCCTCCGTCTCCCAAAGTGCTTGGATTACAGGAGTGAACCTGCATCTGGCCTCAACTAGCTTCTTAAAGACAAGAGAGACATAGTACACTTTGCTCTAATAGAATCTCTTTTGTTTATTTCTTCACTGCTTTTAAACATTGTTCCAGAAAAAAATGTTGAGAAGGCTTTGAAATAAAATAATAGGAGCTGACAAATTTTAAGTCAATAATAAAAATATTTCCAAAGCTACTGTAGGCAACAGCTGTGTTCAAACCACACCTGATAATCCAACTCTTAAATTTTTTGTAGTGTCTATAACTACCTTCAATCAATATCTTCAAATACCCCATATCTAACTAATTATAATCCACTTAAAAATACAAAAATTTTCAAATTTTTTTTCACTATCTCCAACTAGCCATCTATTTCCTCATTCTGCCATTCTTATTTTTAAAGAAGAAAACCTGAGGTTGCCTATCTTACACAAATGTCTAATGTTTTCAGAAGTTCATTTGATATAGAGCTATGGTGCAAGCTGCTTCTGCTCTCCTGGTGTTCCTATTTAAACTGTAATGAGGTTCCCTACTTTGTCAACTTTTTTATGCTTGTCCCATAAGTTCAGCATTTTAAGGAAATATGCCAAGGAGAATAGCCTTTTATGATACAGGTTAGGCAAATTCCCATGACGACATTGCGTAACTAAGCTTGTATGTAAGAGTACCAGCTGAGCAAAACTACATCAATGAATATCAGTGGGTATAATTTTCAAGTCCAATAAATAGTCAAGATGGGGAAAGGAAATGGCAAACATAAAGAAGAAGAGAAGGCTGGGTGCTATGGCTTATACTTGTAATCCTAGTGGTTTGGGAGGCCAAGGTTTGAGGACTGCTTGAGGCCAAGAGTTTAAGATCAGCCTGCGCATCATAATAAGACCCCATCTCTAAAAAAAAAAAAATTTTTAATTAGCCTGGCCTTGTGGCACATGCCTGAAGTCTCTGCTGCTCAAGAGGCTGAGGTGAGAGGATTGCTTGAACCCAGGATTTTGAGGCTGCAGTGAGCTATGATTGTGCCATTGCACACCAGCCTGGGTTACAGCCCTGTCTCTTAAAAAAACAAAAAACAAACAAATAAACACAAAACAAAACAGAAAAAAGGAGGAGGAGAAGTGATAAAAGAGTCAGAGGCAAATAGAAACATATGGCTAACGTAAATAATTACTTTAAATTAAGAATGCATTTCTATACAATATCATTCATAAGTTCAAAATTGTGGTCATTTAAATAATATGAAAACAATTATCTGATTTTAAAATATTTATTATTTACAGATGGGAGAAAGGTGGAGAAGTAAGTAGGGAGGTTTGGGGAAAAACTGGAAAACAAGGGCTGCTTGGTGTCAAGATTGCAGAGCATCATGGTGGGATTGGAGGGGATTTGTACCCGAAGCTGTTGTCTGGGAGGAGCAGTAAGTATGGCAACCTTTAGGTTGAGTCTTGTTTTGTAAACACACTGCTCACCTTTCTGAGATGACAAAAAATAAAAAAAGAAAGCTTTTTAATCTTCTTGGAAGATTGAAAATTCAATGTAAAATGTAAAAGATTATACCATTCATGTACTCTTGCAGATTTTTTGAATGTGGGATAATAAGAAAATCCCTTTAAGTTGCTGAAATAGGTACTATTGAAAATTAAAGAGAAAGTTTTTTTCTGTCAACACTTATGATTACTTTTCCCCCTTAGAAAAGATAGTTGAAAGAGAACAGTAGAGTAGAAAAATATTTCCATCAAATATACTAGAATTTTAATATACAAGAACAAATAAAGATTGTGGTTGAAAAATGGGTAAAGAATTTGAAGCAATAATTCATCAAAAAAGAAATGCAAATAGGTTTTTTAAGTGAGAAAAGTTCATCTTCAGGACCAACCAAATGCAAATTAAACTGATCTGGAGGTATCATTTTGAGTATCTATAAAGCTAGTGAAAATGAAAAGTTCTAATACCCAGTGCTGACAAGATTGCAGTGAAAGTGTCATACACTAATGGTGGCATTATAAATTGGAACAATAAATCTTTTGGGGACTAGAAAGGTGAAAACATTGAAAAAAAAAAAAAGTTCCTGCTCCTTTACCTAGAATGCCACTTTGGGGAATTTATCTTAAAATAATTTAATAAGAAAAATAGATACTGTGTTCAGAAATCATTGTCATATTAGGTCATAATTCTCCAAATTTTGAAGCAATCTAAATGTCCAGAAGTAGGAGAATGGCTAAGAAAATTATGGTACATAAACAACTTGTAGTATTTTGCAGCTATTTAAGATTAAAATCTATGTAAAAATAGAATTTTCTTGTATCATATAATTTATTTTTAAATGTAAAATTTTTATTTGTGTGCATATGTGCCATAATTTTAAAACAGCAAAGTACAAAATTTAGTGCATGGTTCCATCTTTTGTTTTGTTTTGTTTTTTGCTCTTTTTTATTCTATTTGTTGTTTTTTTATTTTTTTATTTTGGTTCTTTTGTTTATTTGTTTTAACCATGACTCCATCTTATTAGAATATATTCTTATGGCAAAGATAATTAAAAGAATACAGTTACTATTCCACTGTGTTATAAGAATATAATTGCAGGTGCTTCATATTTTAAAATATTTTATGTCTCAATTAAATAAGTGTTGATTGGACTCTAGTAGAGCACTGTTATTGTGTTGGAATCAGAAATTTTAAAATTAGTAAAAATAAAATACTAAGAAAATACTCAGGAATGCCATAGGTTTGTGATGAGATAGGCCACTACCAAACAGTTTGATAGGCCCTTTAATACACTGTTGTTACAATAGTCATTTTTTAATTGCTATTTTATGCTTTAATTTTTCTTCTTCTTTTCTTTCTAAGAGCTTATTCAGATTGTTCAGGCCCAGGTTTTGGTGTTCATTCAGCAATTGCCATGCCCTATATTGCAAACTATGGCTCAGAAGAACAGATTAAGCACTTTATTCCTCAGATGACTGCAAGCAAATGTATTGGTGCAGTAGCAATGACAGAGCCTGGAGCTGGAAGGTAAGTTAATATTTAGCTGGCTTTGGATTCTTGGAAGCAGTGCCTTAACATTTTCTTAGTACTTGGTTAATACATAGACTGAGCTATGTGCTAGGAGGAATGCAACGATGAACATGGGATAATTCATGACCTCAAGTAGGAAAATAACAATAAAGCAGATTATAATGTATGCTATGTTTGAGATAGTAACAGTTTTATGCAAAGATAATGGTAGTGTACGAGTTGAATTTTCAGCATAATGAATTTTAGATGTAGGGTGAGAGTCACATGTAAAATATGTCAAGCAGTTTGTTCAACAGGTGTATTTGAAATTGTAGAAATAAGGGTGGAGTAGTAAGGTTTCAAAAGTCTTTCGTATCTAAGAGTTGATGCAATAGGAATGAATAAGATCATGTATTCAGTTATTTGCTGATTATTTAGTATGTGTCTTCAATGTGCCAGGTATACAATAGTGAACAAAACAGATGTGGTCTCTATACTTATTGAGAAGGGCAAGAAATAAGCAAGTATATATATTTGTAGTTATAAATTATGATAAGTACTGTGAAGGAAATAAAGTGCTGTGCTATAGACTAATGCTATGTTTGTGTTTGGTGGGATAGGGAAAAACAAATTTAGACAAATGCTAACAAAGGCCTATAAAAATAGTTGTATTTAAACTGAGATTTGACAAATGAGAAGGAACCAGTTTTATAAGACTTGGGGAAACAGCTTCCACAGAGTGGGAACTGATCCTCAAGTGGTAAAATGAAAAAAAAGGGACCAAGGAGGAAAATCTGGGCAGTATGTTTCATTTGGAACTGTACAAAAGAAGATGGAGCAACAGAGACAGAAGGATTGAGAGTTTTAGAGAAATCTAGACGTGAGTAATTAGAGAAGTCAGTTGCAAAGGCCATAGGAAAGGAGAAGGAAGTTAGTAATGTGAAGGCCACAGTGATGCTGAGAATGGAGGAGAGGTCCTGGCAGGCCTGACAATCCTTTGTGATTTCAGTAGGGTGGAGGGGCAGAAGTTACTTTTTATGGGAGTGAGATGGTTGTTGAGAAAACAGAGGCAGAGAAAACAGAGTAATCTTTCTCAGAGCTGAGTGGTGAAAGGAAATGTAGAGTGGGCAGTGGTTTGAGGCTAACTGGTAAGGGAAATGATTTATGTTAAAGACAGCTGCAACTTGTGGGTCAACAGAAAACAAACAGAGCAAAGGAAGAACTTAGAGATTCGGAAGAAGTGGTAAGTGAAAATCCAGGAATTGTTTTTGTGGAAGGCAGGCCCTCCCTTTTTATCATAAGATGTTCTTTTTTGAACATGTTATTTATTTTAAAATCTCTTAATATTATATAGCATGACTTGTAATATGTTTACATTGGATTTGTCTTTTTAAGATGTAAATTTCTATAGGCCAATAATAATAATACTTAATTTTGTCAAAAATTAAAGGTTTCTGTTCACTTCTGTTGCCTACAAGTGTGATCTAAACAAGTAGAAATTTAACCTTCTTCTTTTATAATTGCTTTTAATTTCATTCTCTAAGATAACTACATGGCTGACTACCAATATTCACATTGGAGTTGCATTAGCTCTGTGGTTAGCATGTTCCACTTCCAGCTATTGCATGTTAGCTCTCACAAAGAGGCAATAGAATAAATGAGATCTTGATTTATCTCTAAACTTACACATGCAAACAAAGGTTCATGTGATTTTTGTTTAAATTCTCTGGCCTTATCTGTGGTTAGGTCTATAATTAAGAAGGAAACCTGAAAATGAAGATGGAGAAAATAAACAGATTTCTTTCTTTCTTTTATTGCAAGGTCATTGAAAGTCATGAGAGGATAGTAAGTAAGTCAGGTATTTAGAGAGGTGAGCAAAGAGCCCATGTGGGTGAGAGAATATAAGAACATAGAAAAGCCACAGATGAAGAAGAGTAATAGAATATTGAGGAATTATGGCATGAAATTGGCATGAAATAGGGAAAAACACGTGAGAAGAAAAGAAGATAGAAGATGGAATATGGTTCATTTTGCTTGCCCTCAGAGATGAATTGAGCACTGTCTGTATTTTTACTTGGATTTGGCCTACACACACACACACACACACACACACACAATGTTGCAATTGCTGAAAAACATCCAGAGTTTCACTGGCCCTTTCTGTTTCCATGTACATAGGAGGCTTCATTATACATCATTATGTATCTTTATATGTTGTATTACCTTAGCATTTTATAAATGCTTTCATGTTGATTTTATTTTGTTAGTTTTTAAAGAAATAGAAATGAGGTTGTGCTATGTTGCCCAGGCTGGTCTCAAACTCCTGAACTCAAGCAATCCTACTGCCTCGGCCTCCCAAAGTGCTAAAATTACAGGTGTGAGCCACTGCGCCTGACCTCTTGTTGATTTAATTATGTGGCTATTATAAAAAGATATATGGAATATAGAGATATGATTTCTACATAAGAAGAAAACAGAAAATAATAAATGAAGTATTTTGACCAAGTACATAGAGCAAATTGTTGACAGCTTTAGAGCCAGAGTGTTCTGACACCAGCTGTGTAATCTTGGGTAAAAATCTCTGAGCTTTAATGTCTCTATCAGTGAAATTGAGATAATGATACTTAAGATTATTGTGAGGGTCTAAATTGTTGTCTTTACTAAGTGATATACTTTTTCATTTTTAATATTTCATATATACCATTCAAAAATTTAGGAAAAATTTACAAACTGAGCTATGTGATTACCTTTATTTCCTTTGAATTTTTTTCTTTTTCTTTTTTTTTTTTTTTTTTTTTTTGAGACGGAGTCTCACTCTTGTCGCCCAGGCTGGAGTGCAATGGTGTAATCTTGGCTCATTGCAATCTCTCCCAGGTTCAGGCTATTCTCCTGCCTCAACCCCCGCAAGTAGCTGGGATTACAAGCACCTGCCACCACACCCAGCTATTTTTTGTATTTGTGGTAGAGACAGGGTTAGTAGAGACAGGGTTTCTCCATGTTGAGTCAGGGTTTCTCCATGTTGACCAGGTTGGTCTTGAACTCCTGACCTCAGGTGATCCGCCTGCTTCAGCCTCCCAAAGTGCTGGGATTACAGGCATGAGCCACAGCACCCAAACTTAGAAGAATTGTTTTAATAAACTGTGTACAGACTTCAGTTACCGATACTTTATATGTACTTATGATGAAAATGTGATGTTAGAATACAGTAGCATTCAGGCCAGGTGCCATGGCTCATGCCTGTAATCCCAACACTTTGGGAGGCCAAGGCAGTTGGTTCACCTGAGGTCAGGAGTTTGAGACCAGACTGGCCAACATAGTGAAACTCTATCTCTACTAAAAATACAAAAATTAGCTGGGCATGGGTAGGACATGCATTTGTAATTCCAGTTATTTGGGAGGCTGAGGCAGGAGAATCTCTTGAACCTGGGAGGCGGAGGTTGCAGTGAACTGAAATCGTGCCACCGCACTCCAACCTCAGCCACAGAGTGAAACTCCATCTCAAAAACAACAACAAAAAAGAATACAATAGCATTCAGCTTTAAAATGTTCCCAATCTGCATTCGCCCTTTTGATGATAATCAGACTACAGATTGGTTCACATACCTGTGTCATTTGACCTGTGTTTCAGATAGGTGGTTCTGTATTATACAATCTTTCTGAAACTTACGTGATATTTGAAATGATTAGATGCGTAATGGATAAGCTTTGTATTCATGTGTTGGGGTGTCCCCAAGGCTACTACCAGGTTCAAATGATTTGCTAGGAGAACTCACAAAACTTGGCATATATTGTACCTATGGCTACAACTTATTATAGTAAAGGACACAATGCAAAATTAGCCAGGGGAGACTCTCATAGGTGAAGTCCCATAAAACCAATAGCAGCTTCTAGGAGTTCTCTACCAGTGAGGTCATACAGAGCATTCTTAATTCTTCAACAAGTTGTGACATGTGTGAAATGTTGTGCCCCAAAGTGTACCTCATTAGAGACTTGGTGTCCAAGGATTTTATTGGAAGTTGGTCATATAGGCATCTTCTCCCTGGCATGTACCAAAAGTTGAGATCCCCAGAAGGAAAGCAGGTATTCCGCATAAGCCAAATTGTTTGCACAAATGGTTTAGACAGTAAGGCACGCTTATGAGTACTGGGAATTGTGGGAAGTCTCCTGAAATCCAGATTCTCAGATGCTAGCCACGGACAATGTTATAAGAGGCCTTTCTAAGGATAGTAGTGTCAGGCCTGCTTTCTTTTCTTTTCTGTATACTTGGCATTTTAGTAACATAATTTAACAAATGTTTATTGAGTGCCTGTTATGTACAAAGCAATATGCTAGGCTCAGAGCATAGAAATATGATCTTGATACACATCATGTTCTCCAAGACCTTGAGTCAGATAAGTGTGGCATGTGGGAAAGATAATTTCTTTTTATTCTAATTGAAATTCAATGTGAATGCTCTAAGAGAGTATATTTGTTGCCTTATGGCATCTGTGACAAATTGTCACAGACTTGGTGGATTAACACAACAGGAATTTATTCACTTACAGTTCTGAAGGCTAGAAGTCCAAAATAAGTATCATTGGGCCCAAATCAAGGTATCAGCAGGGCTACACTCCCTCCAGAGGTTATAGGGGTGAATCCACTCCTTTCCTCTTCTCTCTCTTGTTGGCTGTTGGCGTTCCTTGCCTTGTTGCATAATCACTGCAGTCTTTGCCTTTGTGGTCACGTTGCCTTCTCTTCTATGAAATCTCTTTTTACCTCTCTCCTATGAGGACATTTGTGATTGAATTTAGGGCTCATCCAGATAATTCATAATAATCTCTTTATCACTACATCCTTAAATTAATCACACTTGCAGGACCCTTGTTCCATGTAAGGTAGCACAGACTCCAGAGTACATTATTCAGCCTAATACAGAGAGTGATTTAATAAAAAATGCAGCCAGGCACAGTGCTGTGCCTGTAATCCCGGCACTTCGGGAGGCCGAGGTGGGCAGATCACCTGAGGTCAGGAGTTCAAGACCAGTCTAGCCAACATGGTGAAACCTCATCTTTACTAATAATACCAAAAAAATAGCCAGGCATGGTGGCATACATCTGTAATCCCAGCTACTGGAGAGACTGAGGCAGGAGAATTGCTTGAATTGGGGAGGCAAAAGTTGCAGTGAAATGAGATTGTGCCATTGCACTCCAGCCTGAGCAATAAGAGTGAAACTAGGTCTCAAAGAAACCAAAATGCCAAGGAGCATGAAATATAAACACCACCATCTTAGTCTGTTTTTGCACTGCTATTAAAAAATACCTGAAACTGGGTAATTTGTAAATAAAAAGGTTTAAGTGACTCACAGTTCCACAGGCTATATAGGAAGCATGGCTGGGGAGGCCTCAGGAAACTTACAATCATGGCAGAAGGCAAATGGGAAGCAGGCATGTCCTACATGGCTGGAGAAGAAGGAAGAGAGAGAACGGGGATGTGCTACACACTTTTAAACAACCAGATCTGATGGTAGTAACTCACTATCACAAGAACAGCAAGGCAGAAGTCCATCCCCATGATCCAATTACCCAGCAGGTCCCCTTCTCCAACACTGAAAATTATCATTGAACATGAGATTTGGGTGGGAACACAGAGCCAAACCATATCAACCACATAAAGAAGAAGAATTGGAAAAATTTTGCAAGTAATGTGGATTATTTATATACAATGCTGCTTATTATAGGATGTTAATAAAAATTGGGACCTAAGTGTTTTAACAATAGGGGATTTTCTTTAATTATGGTAAATCCATGATGATGATCTGTGTAGCTAATAAGAAGTATCTCATAGAAAAACATTAGATATTGTTAATAGATCAAAATCATATGGTTGCAATTTTATAAAAATGCTTAAATATGTATGGTTAAGTGCATTAAAAAATATTGGAAAGATACACCTTTAAAATGTTCATTCTAGGAGATAAAATTATTTTTTAAATTATTTTTCTCCTTTGGAATGCTGTTTGTATTTTTAATATCGTATTTACTAATTTTTTTTCTTTCATATTTGGAAAAATAACCTCTTCTATGTTTAGAGCAGGTTTGTTAGAAAAAATGGCATTTGAGGTATACTCTTTGTTTTTTGAGACAAGGTCTCACTGTGTTACCTAGACTAGAGTGCAGTGGCATGATCATGGCTCACTGCAGCTTCAACCTCCCAGGCCCAAGTGATCCCCTCACTTCAGCCTCTCAACTAGCTGAGACCACAGGCATGTGCCACCACACCCAACTAATTTTTTAACTTTTTGTGGAGATAGAGTCTAGCTTTGTTGCCCAGGCTAGTCTCAAACTCCTGCGCTCAAGCAGTCCTCCTCTCTCAGTCTCCCAAAGTGCTGGATTACAGGCATGAGCCACCGTGCCCTGCCTAATAGCTAAATTTTTGATCAGTAAAGACAGGGGAGGGAGCCAATGTGTTTAAAGGCAGCAAAGTACACAGTGACACGTAATCTCAGGGATACAGTGAGCTTTGAAATGTTATGTGAGTCCCATTTTGGGTCTTGAATGTTAGCTGGGCTTTGTTGTAGTACTCTATAAAATCTGGCTAGTTTATATAATCTTAATCATATATTCATTTGTATAACTGCTTTAGAATATAATAGATCAGCATGGTTTTTCAGTGCAATTGTGCAAACATTCTTAATATTTGGCAATTTTATAGTGGTGTAGCCAGTTTGAATAATCTCATTTACATACAGATAGAATTTGCATAATTTAATTTTTATCATTTGATGAATTTTTTTATCCTTTCTCTCAATTGCAGTGACTTACAAGGAGTAAAAAACAAATGCTAAAAAGGAAGGAAGTGACTGGATTCTCAATGGAAGCAAGGTGTGTAAAGAGGGACTTCTATAGCCCTTCTTTTTAGAGTCATCCCCTGAGTGACAACATCTCAGAGACAACTCCTTGATTCTATTAAATCTAGAGACTCATGAAGGAATTGAATTTACCTAAGTTGCTTTGGAGACAATAAATTTACAACATATATTACTTAAGATCTGTGGTAGCTTCTTCTATGTTTCATTTTGTATACCCCCTCACTAATATGGCAAAGGTTGTTTTAACTTCCAAGCAGCCCTTATCAAACCAGAAAAAGAGAAGATGAGGCTCATATTGCTCAAATATGGGACAAATATTAATAATACTTAAACTTTATTTTGATGAAAGTTGGGGGAAAAGCTTTCTCATATAGATCAAGAAGAATTTCAAAAGATTCTAGGAGAAGACCAGGCACAGTGGCTCACACCTGTAATTCCAGCACTTCGGGAGGCTGAAGCAAGAAGATTGCTTGAGCCCAGAAGTTTGAGACCAGCCTGGGCAACAAAGTGAGACCCTGTCTCTACAAAAATAAAAATTTTAACAATTAGCTTGATGTGGTGGTATGCCCTTTGGTTCCAGCTACTCATTCAGGAGGCTGAAGTAGGAGAATTGCTTCAGCAAGGAGCCAGGGAGGTTGAGACAGAGTAAGACCTTCTCTCAAAAAAAAAAAAAAATCTCGGACAGAAAGATATCAGTGATACAGTGATAGAATTTGAGAGCCATTTGAGAATGATTCAGTTCTTCTAGCTCAACCAACTCACTGATAGAATTGGAGAACCCTTCCTAGTAAGGTTACAGATGGGCTCAGGAGCCCTGATATCACTGAGGGGAAATGCATTCAATATCACCAAGAGTAAGTGATATTGCCCACCTAAAACTGTATCTGGTATATACGCAGTAAATATTTGTTGTTGACTAAGTGTTATGTGAAGGAAAGATGTTCATTTTCTTTACAGTTCTAAAATAATCTTTCTGAAAATATGTGCCAAGGTCTGTTGAAAAATTAGTTTTTATATGTTTATTTGGGCTAATATCTCTGTATTTACAAAATTGAATCACTGGTGTTCTTCAAATATACTTTAATAAATATTTGTTTAAATAATTTATCCCAAGAATTATAATTAAACAGATGATAGCCCCAACATATAATCAGTTAACTCCTGGCATACAGAAGTCCTTTTTGAAAGGACAGTGGGATATTTGGTCAGAAGTGAAATGGGAACCACATTCTCTTATGCCTCTAGCTCTCTAAGCAGGCCTGGTCTGCTCAGCTATTGTGTTCTGTGGGAACCACCCGGGAAAACTACCACTGACTGTTTCAAAAACTCAGAAATAGCAAAAATATGAAAACAAGTCAAAGTAAAGGAATGGGTAAGCAAATACAGTGCATCTGAATGAATGTGCAGCAATTAACATTAGCAACACAAAGTTTTTAACAGTACAGGAAATAATTATACATTAAGTGAAAAAACAGGTTATAGAATGAAAGTAGAGAAAAATTTTTACCACATTAAAATTTTAAAATGAGAAAGGAAACTATCAGTGATATTTGTATTATGTAATTATGGAGAAATATCTTTTCCTTTTCCTTTAGAACTTTACATACTATCTTTATAATGTCTGCAATGAAGTTCTGTTATTTTATAAGCACTTAATATTCTCCCACCCCCAAAAAAATGCTGGCCCTCATTAGGGATAATTTCAGCCCTATTTAAACTTTTGAGTATCGTAATTAGAAAATAAACTGAGAAAATCCACTTGCAAGAAGAATTCTCATAAAATTCTATTAGAAAAGGGGATCCGGCCGGGCGCGGTGGCTCACGCCTATAATCCCAGCACTTTGGGAGGCCAAGGCGGGTGGATCACGAGGTCAAGAAATCGAGACCATCCTGGTCAACATGGTGAAACCCCATCTCTACTAAAAATACAAAAATTAGCTGGGCACGGTGGTGCGTTCCTGTAGTCCTAGCTACTCGGGAGGCTGAGGCAGGAGAATTGCTTGAACCCAGAAGGTGGAGGTTGCGGTGAGCCGAGATCATGCCACTGCCCTCCAGTCTGGGTAACAAGAGCGAAACTCCGTCTCAAAAAAAAAAAAAGAAAAAAGAAAGGGGAATCCACCATGGTGTTAACACTCACATTAGGTCACACTACTGTAGAAATGGTTCAGAATTTATTAATTCTTTGCTTTAATTACTTCCAATAAGAACTTCAGGAGAACCCTACTTGATTTTACCAAATTGAGATCAGAATATTAAAGTGAATAGTTTTTGCCCAATGAACTGCTTCCTTTCTATCCCATTGTTTATTTACTATCTATAGTTAAAACATGTATGAGACCATCTTAAAAGTATACAGTAGATGCTAATTCCTGGATGCTGTGTGATTCAAAACAAGCAAAAATGCACTCTCAGAGCATTTCAACTGTGGCAGCTATATAGATGTTAGGAACTACACAGAAAGGTAGGAACTTGGTAGACTTATACGGTTTTGAGCAAGGGAGTGGTGTAATGGAGCTATACTGTTAAAAAAATATTTTTGCCAAGATGTATAGAATTTCTCTGAAGAACATCTTTTTCAAAATATATCTTTTAAACATCCTTTGGCCTTCTCTGTGCCAAAGAGAATTCTAAGCACTGAAGGTAGATAGATGAGTGGGAAATGGCTAAGAGTTCCTAGTAAGGAAGGATGTTGATGACCTTTTAATGCGTCACCTATAACCATGCTGCTACCACTATCTTCATTTGCTGTTGTGTAGACAACACTAGCATTATTTGCGCATTTTTCATTATTCGTATGTGTCAGTGCTGTGCATTTTAGGTGATGGGAGTAACTAACATCATTTTATACACCTACTATTTCAAAGGGAGAGGATAAAAACAGATCATTTGAATACAGTTTGATAAATCTTAAAATCATGGTAAATTTGAGGTGTTGGAGGAGCACTTAACCTAGTCTGGAGAATTTGAGACTTTTTGGACAATCTGATGTTGAATCCATCCAGGATGAGTAGGATTCATTGTAGCAGAGAAAGGTCCTTTCCCAAGTAGCGGAAACAAGGTTTTCAGACTTGCAGGTTAGGAAAACCTCAAAATGTGATGGACAGCAAGTAATTTAGTAGCACTGACTGGAGAACGGGGAATTGGGAGAAGTGGGACAAGTAATAAGGTAGGTAAGGAGAGGTAAGCTAGTTGCAGTTTGTGATAAGTTTTCTATTTCCTGCTAAGGGTTTTGAATTTATCCTGAAGCCTATTAGGAGCTATTCAAAATTTTTAAGTATGAAGGTGATATGATCAGATGACATTTAGAAAGATCTCTCTGACATCATAATGAATGATACAGCTATAGAGAGATCAGTTGTAGGAACTTAAGAAAGGATGAGGGCTGGAAATAAGGTAATTACAATAGACTTGAAAGGAAGTGAATAGATTTCAAAAGTATTAAGATGGATCAGAAAGAACTAGATGCTGAACTGAATATGGAGCAAGATGATAGTGTGATTTATTGAAACATTCATTGAGATGGGGAAATTGGTTGATAATCAGGATTGGCTAGGAGTAAGGGTGGGAAAGAATATGTCCTTCCCATGAGTCATCAGGTGGAATTATCCAGAAGCAAGTAGGTATAAATGTCCAGGTCCTATCACGCAATGTGGCTTACCAGGAGTTTGAGGCTGCAGTGATCTATGATCACACCACTGCACTCCTGCCTGGGTGAGAGAAACCCTGTCTCTAAAAAAAAAAAAAAAAAAAAAAAAGTAAAGAAATGTGGCTTAGATAAATATTTGGAGTCATCAGCATGTAGAGGGTGACCCAAGCCACGAAAGTGATTGAGATGAACCAGGACAGATGCAGAATGAGAAGAGAATTATTATTTGCTCTGGGTATATTTTGTTTTCTGAATCAATATCATCTAATAATCCCTTTCATTTGGCTTGTTATATTTCCCTCCTTAGTCATATTTTCTCATTTAGGCCATTTCAAAGGAAGCAGGATATCAGTTATAAAAATCAAAAATAGTCCTTTTCAAAAACTGATAAATCGGGATATCAGTTATAAAAATCAAAAATAGTCCTTTTCAAAAACTGATAAATCTGAGAATAAATAGTATAGTGCAATTTATAGCAGATTTTCTCTTTTTGTTTTCCTTTTCTTTCTTTTCTAGAGACAGGGTCTCACTCTGTCACCCAGGTTAGAGTGCAGTGGCACAATCATAATCCACTGCAACCTCAGACTCCTGGGCTCAAGCAATCCTCCTGCATCAGCCTCCTGAGTAGCTTGTACTAATGGCGCACACTACCACACCAGCTAATTTTTCGTTTTTTGTCTCTTCTCTTTTGGGGAGGCTGGTCTTGAACTCCTGAACTCAAATGATCCCCTTGCCTCTTCCTCCTAAAGTGCTGGGGTTATAAGTGTGAGCCACCGGGCCCAGCCAGATTTTCTTATCAGTCACTTTCTTCTAAAATACAATTTATGATCATAATAAACAATTTAGTTTCATTTTTAAAGAACACAGTAATCTCTGTTATTATTATGTGTAATATTAATAGTGAAAATAAAATCTATAGGCTTCGTTCTTTGAAGCATTAAGTAATTTTTTCCTGATCCTTGATAACATCATGTGTGAACAGTCAACTCTGCAGATATTTGGTAGGGCACAGAGAGAGGTATCAAGTATGTCATCTGTTTTGTTTTCTCGAATATGCTTTCTCCCAATCATAACTTGCACATAGGCTTGAATTATCATGATGCATTAATACGTACTTGGGGTTTTGCAGGTGTTCATCAGTAATGGGTGGTTAAGCGACCTTGTGATTGTAGTTGTGATCACAAATCGTGAGGCTCACTCCCCTGCCCATGGTATTAGCCTTTTTCTGGTGGAAAATGGAAGGAAAGGATTTATTAAGGGACAAAAGCTACATAAAATGGGATTAAAAGCCCAGGTGAGTGATAATGTAAATCATATTCAGATACTAATTAAGTTTACTATTAATCAGATAGGAGACTTATATAGAGGATTACATGTGGCACAATTTTACTTCCTATGCTGAATTTCTAAAACATGCTTTTCTGATGTGGTAATGGAGATTTATTCCCATTTATGCTATTTTATCTCTTTCTGATGGTCAGCAATAGAAATGAATCAAGGTATTTTGACTGTCTGCTTTAGAAATGACAAAATTATCTGCATGGCAATAAGCCATCTATTTGTAAAATGTATTAAAGAAAAATATGAAGTAAAAACAGAAAATGTTTTTTCTATACATTACCAAAAATACATGTTTTGCTTAATATGTATTAGAAATCCTTAGTTCCAAGTATCTTGAGAACTGGACAATATTAGAGCTGGAATGATAGTGTATTGCAGTAGGAAAGCCACTAGGTTTAGAATCAGATGGATGTGGGTTCAAATTCCTGGTTTACCACATACTAGTTGTGTCCATTAACCACTCCTGCTTGGCTTCCAATTGGTTTTTTGCTTTTTTGGAAACAATAATATTCACCTCAATATTCACTGAGTTATCGGAAGATTTAAATGAGATCATTCTCTACATTTTTTTTTGTATGGTCTTTTAGGATACTGCAGAACTATTCTTTGAAGATGTATGGTTGCCAGCTAGTGCCCTACTTGGAGAAGAGAATAAAGGCTTCTATTATCTCATGAAAGCCTCCACAGGTAAGAGTCCATCTTTTGATTGAATAATGAATTGGAATAGAATAATATAGAAACATGCTATTTCCATATTATTCATGCAAATTTATACATGCAAAACTTGCGAAATAGCTAATCATTTGAGTATTAAAGTTGTAATGAAAGTATGCGTTTTATAGGCTAGATAAGTAAATAACTGAACTCAGTGATATCCAATTGACGCTTATAAAGTGGGTAGGAAAAACAGGTATTTCAGTTCTGTGATTCCTTCTTAGAATGATTTTAGCTTCTTAATTACAATTCAAAACTTTTAGCTCTTTGTAAGGAAATATGAAAAACATTTGACAGTTGGCCAGTTTTAAAATAATAACTGTGACTCAAAGGGAAAAGTATAAAGTTCAGTCCCAAAAGTTTTAGCCACATAGGGTCAGTCCCTAAACAGCTATGGTTTTGGAGTATGGTTGACAAGTGATTATTGAGCCTCAGATGCCAGCATAAGGAGATACTGCTGCCTAGTGACTGCCAGAATATCACCAGCATGATGGAATTAAAGTGACTAAGGCTACTTTTACATTAATAGGTAGATTTTAACTTACGCACTTTAAGATGTGTTTTTCCACACACATATTGAGTCATGCAGTGTGCAGAGATCAATAAATTAAAATCAACAACTAGGGATTTTTTTAACTTGTATGTGAATAAAGAGAAGAAAAAATTAAATAAATTACATATATATAATGAAGGTAGTCATTCACAGGCATGGTGTTATGTGCCTTCTGTCCCAGCTACTCGGGAGGCCAAGGTGGAAAGGTAGCTTGAGCCCAGGAATTCCAGGATGTAGTGAACTATGATTGTGAAACTGTACTCCATTTTTGGCAACAGAGTGAGACCTCATCCCTTAAAAACTTTAAAAGATTTAGGAAAGGCAGTCACTCATAAAAATAAAGGATTTAAAGGTAGAATTTGTATTTGGAATTTATATTGTCTGAAAAGGAGGAGCCTGTAAGATAACTGAGAATGAATGAACAGTTAGAAAGGAGAAAGCAAATCAGGAGAGCTTTGTCTCAGAAGCTGGAAGGAAAGAGGATTTCATGGAGTAGGGAGTGGGACCAAATGCTGCTTAAAGAGGTGGACGGATCACAAGGTCAGGAGATCAAGACCATCCTGGCCAACATGGTGAAACGCTGTCTCTACTAAAAACACAAAAAATTAGCTGGGTGTAGTAGTGCGCACCTATAATCCCAGCTGAGGCAGGAGATCCGCTTGAACACAGGAGGTGGAGATTGCAGTGAGCTGAGACTGCGCCACTGCACTTCAGCCTGGTGACAGATCGAGACTCTGTCTCAAATAAATAAATAAATAATAACAATAGGGAAAGTTCATCCTTGAAAGACAGGTGAGTGAAAGAGGCATGGAGGTGTTGGAGAGGGTGAGGGAAGGACAAAATACCTTCTTCAGAATGAGAAACTAAACTAACTACCTTCTGCTTTTTGCATATGAATCAGTCTTATGATAAGAGTTTAGCTTCCCAGGTACAAACATACAGAAAAGACAGATGATTGTGTTTATCTAGGGTGGAGTTTTCCCGGGAACTTGAGGGTATTTGCAAAAGAACTCAGTATATGGTGACCACAGTCATTCAATATGCTAATTAAATTTTAGACCCTATAGTTTCTTTTTAAATGAAGGAATAGTTTATAATTCCTTCATGCAGTCATCAAATGGGCAAAACATCTCACCAACAAAAAACCTGGAGTTGGGATTTGACTTTAAAAATTTTAAGTAGAATGACTGGCTGAAAGGTTTTGTGAAGGGAAATGTCGAAATGAAACAGCTTGGTGGTTTCTCAGGACCAACATTATAGAAATTACATTCAACTGTGGTTTAAGTCCTAACCCAGCTACTTGGATCTCTGTAGTCTAGGCAAGTTGTGTTCTCTCTCTCAAAAATAGTTTCCTATTTGTAAATTTATAAAATGTGTTTGATTTGCAAGATTGTAAAATCTTATGATTGTAAATCTTTAGTATTTGTAACATTTGTACATATTTGTAAAATATTTTCCTATTTGCAAATATCAGAGACTGCCTCATAGGGTTACTGTGAGGATTATGTTGTAGAAAAAACTCAGTTATTGTCACATGACCAGGATGAATTAGGCACGTAGACACATTGTAGGGTGAGTAGGGCAGGGTTTACTGAATCAAAAGAGAAAAGGGACTCTTGGCAAAGCCAGAGAAAGTCCTGCTAGCAGGTCTTCATTCCGCCTTACAGATTGAATCCTAGGTCACCACACAGGAACAGGAGAGTCCAGGCTCCTCTCCTCTGCAAAGATGTGAACTCCCTGAGGCTCCACCCCGTCTCCCCAGTACACAGGCGGGAATTATTCAGAAAGAATCAGTCAGGAAAGGGCAGGCTTCATCTGGGACCAGTAGTCAGGTTTTTCAGCCTTTAGGCTTTTTAGGCTTGAAGGTGGGCTTTCACCAGGGACCACTAGCTGTCTCCTATCTCTATCAGACAGGGTAATATACATAAAATGCTTCAAATATTGCCTGGCAAAGTAAGCCCTCACTAAAATTAGCTGTTACCCTTATTTTGCATATTTCTTACATAATACCTTGCTCCATTTTGTTTCAATATGGGAGACCTTTTTATCATCTTCTTACTCTTGCTTTTGATCTAGACCTTCTCTGTGTCGTTTTAGGAGCCGTTTGCTACCTGTATGGGTATCAAATTAAGTTTCTCCATCCTGAAAAAAATTATTTACATCCTAACTTTCTTATTGACATAACAAACCTAAAACCATTCAATTAAAATAGAAGTGCTTTAAATGTTACAGTATATTTGACCACATGTAATTTTGTAACTATATAACTATTCAGTTTCCATTGTCTTTGTTATCCTTGAATTTTGAACATTTTGAGGCTTTCTGACCATTTGAAATGCATGTCACAAAATTTATTTTCTTTTTAGAATAGAAACCTACCATATGGATGCAGCAATAGTTATTGGGTTTTTTAAAAATCTATACTCTATAATTTGTCAATCTTATGTTCTTATGTCAATCTAATTTTATAGATTATGTTCTGAATCTATAAAAATGAGGCACACACTCAATCAAGAAAACATTTAACAAAACAGTATAACTTGGCTTGCCTAAATTATAATTTCCTTAAGAGCAGGGATATTATACTTTATATTCCCTTTTATTTACGGATCACTGATTTACACATATCAGTGGTTCTCAATGCCTTTCAGGCATTTAGAAATGTCAGGAATGAGGTGGGGTTGGGTGTGCACAGTTGACTGGAGGTATAACTTGTGTAGTGCCCTTGAGGACAGTGTTGTTAAATGTCCTATAATTCACATTTGGATTACAACTAATTGTCTCACTCAAAAAATCAATAATTTCCCATTGAGAAATACTGAAATATGATTTATTCCTTTCTGCTTCACTGAACAAATATACATTGATTGCCTCCTAAGGGGTAATGTGTTCAACTATAATTTTATGGGTGTGACTCTGGAAACACACACTAGACTCCTGGCAACATGAAGGAAGTGATACCACTTGATACTCTGATTTTCTCAACTGTACAGAAAATGGAATCAGGATCATTTGCTTCTGAAATCCAACCACCATCACTTTCACATCAAAAATGTTTACTAAAACAATTATACCAACGCCAGGCATGGTGGCTCACACATGTAATCCCAGCACTTTGGGAGGCTGAGGCAGACCGATTGCTTGAGCCCAGGATTTTGAGACCAGACTGGGCAACAAGGCAAAACCTCATCTCTACAAAAAATACAAAAATTAGCCGAGTGTGCTGGTGTGCGCCTGTAGTCCCAGCTACTCGGAAGGCTGAGGTGGGAGGATCGCTTGAGCCCTGGAGGCAGAGGTTGCAGGGAGTGAGATCGCACCATTGCTCTCTAGCATGAGTGACAGAGCAAGACCCTGACTTCCCACTCCCGGCAAAAACAAAAACAAAATCAAAAATATACCTTTAGCCTTATTTTGGCTGAAGGTATAACAGTTGAACCAACAGACATATTTCCATTCCTTTGGAAATTTACATTTCCTGTGTTTATGGACTTCATACTAGATTACAACAAAGATGACTATAATATTACCCAGATTGCCTGAATGGCTCAGAAATCATGTAATTTGACATTTAACCATTAAGGAAATAGAAAAGTGGTCCGTATTGTTTTCCCATAGGAGAAAAGGATTCTTTTAAAGTATGTATTTATTGTATTTTAATTGCAAAAAATAAATAATTTTTAATTATTACTTTTTAAAGTGTCGTTTTATTGTTGCCTCCTTTCAAAGGTAGTTCCCTAAAATCTCCATAGGTGGCAGTAGCATTCTACTTCCACGGGTCACATTATGGATAGCTAGTAGTATTGTTTTCCAAGGAAGTGTGTATGTTTTGAGATTTCTGAGATGTGTCTTCTGATCTTCCTACTTTATCTAAATAAATACATTTGAATAATATCTTCATATTTCAAGCTAGGAATATATTCAGAAACAATGAATAACCAATACTATATATACCTATACCTTGTATTACAAAACTGGTTACACTCTGGTTCTAGTTATTCAATTGAAATAGAAGAGCTTTAAATGTTACAATATACTCGGTCACATGTAATTTTATAACTATATGACTATTCAGTTTCCATTCTCTTTGTCATCCTTGAATTTTGAACATATTGGGGCTTTCTGACCATCTGAAATGCATTTCACAAAATTTATTTTCTTTTTAGAAAAGAAGCCTACCATACAGATGTAGCAATAGTTATTGGGTTTTTAACATCTATGCTATCCATAGTTTATGTCAATCTTATGATTTTTCCATGGAATAGATAATAAAATAGTAAAATCCAGATGTTAAATAATAATGACTATCATTGCTTGACTGCTCTCTTATCTGCCAGACACTGCTAAGTGAATTGTCTCATTCTTTTTCTTCACAAATCTAAATAATACTTTCATTATTTTTATTTTACAGTTAAGGAAATTG